TAGTGGAACTGATCGTGGAACAGTGTGCCTCGCTGGAGGAACTAAAGGTGGCCAACAATCCTACAATGCAGCCCAGGTGAGGGGATCTACACCCTCTAAGGGTCTAATCTTCATACTAATAAATGTAATGTATTTTTCGCCAGTTTATGCATATCGAGAAATATGCAGTTATTTTTTTATTTTTAGTGTCGTGTTAGAATCTGTTGTTTTGAGCAAAAGTAACCAAAATGTAATTTCCCTGTACTCTGCATTCTTCTCTTAATGTGATGCTCTCAGCACATTGCAAGAAAGGCAAGGCAAGAGAATTGGTATGTTGTCTGAATGAATTTGCATTGGTTTGTCTCTACTGACTTTTAAAACAGAGCTGAAAAAGTATTATGAGCTCAAAAATCAAGCATTCTGCGTTAATTCAGGCAGGCCTGGTAGTCAAGCTCTGCTATCAGCTGATTGGGAAAATTCAAACCCGGCCCCTATCAGCTGATCCGACTCCTAAGCACTCTATTAGCAAATCTCAAACAGGGATTTTTTGTGCTGCTCTCCTATTCTTAAAATAGGAGGGTTGCCCCTGAAGCTGCTGCTGTTTCCCTGAGTTGGCTTTCATGGAGCTCATGAAAAGGACAGGGAACTTGGAACAGAGCCATAACGCCAGATGTAACTTTAGAAAACATGCCAATAAAAATTGACTTAAAGCGTTTTCTATGGTTTTCTTCTTGACTTAAGAGGACCTGACTGAACAGGTACTGCCAACCTGAGGATGTAAGAGTGGAAAAAATATGTATGCACAGTTATTTGTCATGGATATTCACATAATTTGCTCAGTTTATTTATTTTTAGTTTTTTTCTTTGTATGCCCTAGTATTCCTTTTTTACATTATGTTCTACCTTTTTTTTTTTAGGATTGTTGAGACCAGCGCAATCATTGAAATATTTTGATAGTTTTTATTAATACTTTGAACCATTTTTTTTTTTTATATTTTCAGTTTTCATTTTAATTTTCATTTAAATATTATTTTCAATAAAATGGTCATCTTTAATAGTTTTTTAAATATATGCCTATATAGTTTTTATTAATGAATTTAAGTTTTAGTTTGAGTTATTTTAGTACATCAAGTTAAACTAAATTAAAATGAGAAATCTTGTGTTTCAACTAGCTAAAATTAATTTAATTTTATTTGATTTCAGTTAACATTTATTTCAAAGTAAACATTTTTTTAGTAGTTTTAGTTTCATGTAACTGTAATAATCCTGGTTGAGACCCCTCATAATTTTTAATATGTTCAAAAATAAAAAAGGAGGTTTGGAGATACATAATAACTGAACTATGTTTTTCTCGTTTTGACATGTTCCTCTGTGTCCATTCTTAGTGAGTTGGAGAGGATTCTCTCCATGGCTGAGACAAATCCAGGTATGTTTAACATGGCAACCAATCAGGCAGAGGTTGCCAAGCAACTGGACAAGATTGGCAGGCTGAAGGAGCTTCTCATGATCAAAATCAAGCAGAAAGATAATTGGCAGAGATGGATGGGTCAAACAATACAGGTATAAATAAATAATATTAATGAATAATACATTTAAATGATTTACTGATTGAATAAAAGCAAAGAGAATCTTTAAATGACCATGAATTAAAAGTCCAAGACTTTTGATATTTCTGGTCACCACATTAGGAGACGTCTGGCTCGTGAATGTAATGAAGCAAGTGACCCAGCTGAGGTAGAGAAACAACGGGTCAAATTTATGAACTCCACCAATCCAACTGTTGTGCTGCGGAATTACATTGCCCAGAATGCAATTGAAGCAGCTGAAAGGGGTGATTTTTCAGAGGTCAGAGGTCTTGATTGAAATGCAGTGATTAAAACAATAACATTCTGTGGTGTATTCATCTAAAAAAAAAAAAAACCTTTCAGGTTCAACAGCTACTAAAAGTTTTGGAGAACCCTTATTCGGTCAGTCCGGATCTGGAGCGTCCAGTATGGTCAGCAGGGAGTGGGTCAGACCCAGCTGATGGCAACATCATTAAGGGACAGGAGGTTAAGGAGAACACAAAAAGAAAAGCAGCAACTCATACTCACCAGATTCAATACAACAGTAAGGGCCAGAACAATCTGTGTCACATGATCATCCTAAAGCCTCTCAAACTTCACGGCCCAATCCAATACAGAAAGAAAGTAAGAGAAAATGTCAAACATTCTCTCTTGTGTTTCTCTGTCTTGATCAGGTTTGTTAGTGTTGAGGGAGGCTGAGCAACACATAACACTCCTGGTTATCAGATCATGCAGAAACGGCCAAATGTCAGTAGGTACAATAAATGAGGCATACTTTTGTTAAATTAAAAATGTGTTTTGTTACTATTACATTGAGAAACGGGTTAAATTATTCATATTTTAATTACCCTTCAATTATTTCTGCAATTATCTGATCAATGAAGACTCAGATGTTCAGCTTAGCAGGCCTGTCTGAGTTTGAATAACACATACAAACACCTCTTTAAGTATGCATTTATCACTTTTAATAAATAGTTCAAAATTTGCTAACTTGCACAAAGTAAAAAGTAGAACTTTAACAGAATGTCCAAGCGGTTGTTTTGTATACAGTGAAAGTGGTTGCCTTGTTTATATTGTTAAGCTCGAAAAAGCACTATAAAAGTAGTCTATAAAAGTCTTCTGAAATCTTCCATACAATGCATTTTGTGAGAAACAGAGGCATATTTAATTAAAAACAAATATATGAAAGCAAACACATTTAGCCACAAATCAGTCAGTCAGTTCAGTTGACTCTTTAAACTTTTTTATGTACAATATTTTCTATAATAAATGTTCTCTTAATGTCATGTTTTTTTGCCTCTCATTATTCACAATTTTATATCAAAAGTAGTTTGGTTTGGTTTGTTTATTTGTTTATATAGCACAATACAGCAACAGTCGTTGACCATTGTGCTGTACAATAAATTATAAAATCAGATTAATAAAACACCAATCAAAACAACATAAAAGTCATATGGTACAGGAGGTAGTACATACAGGTTGGACTCAGTAAAAAATGAGATCTAAATGACATCAAGATGAGTTTAAGCATCAACTTCATCTGAACCCTGTGATACTAGTAACAGTATACAACTTCCTGGCCATATAAAGAGTTCTGTATGTATAGTTCTAATATAACAAGAGTTGAATATGATTACACATACATTTGTAGCCTAAAATGGAAAGATTGAAGACATTGTGGTCCGATTCAAAGTACTTTGCATTATTCTTTCAGCAGAGCAAATTGTTAAAACCCTTAAATGATATTTGAATAATATTCAAAGCATCTGATTAGTGTGAGCCATGGATTTCACATTGGATATGTCTTCAAATTTTTTAAGGCAAATACACAGTTACATTTTTTTTTTTTAATTGTTTTAAAAAAAATCTGGAACTGTGCTTATTTCACAACGGTCAATATAGCTTTAATAAGTAGTCTTAAACTACTTTTAATAATTGACACATTACAATCAAACACTATTTTTAAGGATTTACAAAACTTAAAATGTTTATGTCAATTAATATTTGTTAACTGCATATTAAATAAATAACACATGTTTGGAGTATGTGGAATCTGCACCTTTCTGGGATAAAAACAGACACAAAATGAGAATTCATTTACATTTGTAGTTGTAGTATAAAACGTAGTATTATGCACTAATCTCTCCATAAACAAAACAACAGACACCACAATAGGGGAAGTCGTGGCCTAATGGTTAGAGAGTCGCAAGATTCGGACCAAAGGTTGCGGGTTTGAGTCTCGTACCGGCAGGGATTGTAGGTGGGGGGAGTGAATGTACAGCGCTCTCTCCCACCTTCAATACCACGATTGAGGTGCCCTTGAGCAAGGCACCGAACACCCAACTGCTCCCTGGGTGCCGCAGCAAAAAATGGCTGCCCACTGCTGTGTGTGTGTGTTCACTACTGTGTGTGTGCACTTTGGATGGGATAAATGCAGAGCACTAATTCCGAGTATGGCCACATGTCTCGTCATGTCATGTCACTTCAATAATAGCCGATTAGCTTAAGTCACTGCTGATGAAACTCTTTTGCATGTATTACAAGAACAAGTACATTACAAAATTACAAGTACATTTTAAGATCTCAGTGGTCATAAGTTAAATTAACATTTGGTTATTAAATCAGACCTTAATTAGCCTAAAGACTATAATGACAATGTAGATTGACAATGTAGACTTTCTATGTAGATTCTCTGTAAAAGGACAGACGAAAGTACTACTTCAGCTAAAATTAAATTTAAGACCTGGAATCATGAGGGATTAGTGGTCAAATTAAAGATGCAAATTTAAAGTTACTTACTTAGTAAAGCAAATCTAAGAGGTTTAAGATGCAATTTGAATGGTACTCAAAGCAGCACAAGGCATGAGGCACGCTTCATTTCAGCCTTGCCAGTTGCATATATTGCATATGACTAGCCTATATGTTATGTTTCAAATAAATTTATGTGTATTATGTTTGCTTCAGGAATGTACTGATGTACTTAAATGCATTTGCTTTTCAATGTCATGCTCATGTGTGAGACACGTTTGATTTCACTTTCTTTGACTTATAGTAAAAAGGTGTTTTGAAGTCAGACAGTGGGAGGAACCAGAGCCAAACAGATTTAACCAACCTCAACCTCAAGCTCACCTCTATGTCCTAACATGGAGTAGGAGGCAGCCTCAACATTTAAATATGCCTGATTCTAACCATGTGCTTTAACAAGAGTGGACCTGCCAATTTAGGGACAGAAAAACAAAAGCAGGAGTGAAAATTGCTGGTGAGTTTCAAAATTTCAGTTCAAAAATACAATTTCAGTGATTGTTCTTTGTGCATATGGATTTTGATAATATAACATAGCATCTATTTTTGTACTTCTCGCTGGTGTCAACTTTAATATTAGTGTCTGGTACTTGTCATTTTGTGTAATTTCCCAGACAAATCCAGTGGTGTCCATATAGTTAGTGACAAGCAACAATGCTGTGCTCCATGTGGCTCATTCTATTTCTGAGTAAGTAGCAATACTAACACAAACAAGCATATTTTTACAGATAATGCCAGTGTTTTTAACTCTTCATATTTTTTCTTTAACATGAAGTTCTAGGCAATACCATTTCAAGTGCGTCCGAATCAATTAGACTGCTAAATGGCAATAACTCTTGTTCTGGAAGACTGGAGGTTTTCTATTACAGTCAGTGGGGAACAGTGTGTGATGATGGCTGGGATCTGTTAGATGCTGCAGTGGTGTGTAAAGAGATGGGCTGTGGGGATGCTATTGAGGCAAAGAGTGGTGCTTTTTTCAGACCAGGAAGTGGAAATGTATTAATGAGCAATATTGCGTGTGTTGGAAATGAGCCTACATTGAGCAGTTGCAGCTCTAAGAAATTGGGAGAGTTTATATGTGGCTATTCAAAGCATGCTGGAGTCATCTGTCGCTGTAAGTTACTGGTATTTCACTTGAAATAACAGCTGCTATGTTGCTGTGCGAGCACAATTAATAATTATTTCTGATTCTGTTTTCTGCTCTGTGCGGACATTAGCCCTTGTCAGATTGGTGAATGGCAGTCACTCCTGTTCTGGACGAGTGGAGGTTTTCAATGACGGTCAGTGGGGAACCGTGTGCGATAACGGCTGGGATCATTCAGATGCTGCAGTGATATGTAAAGAAATGGGCTGTGGGGATGTTTTCGAGCAAAGGATTGGTGGTTATTTTAGCCAGGGATCAGGACCAGTATGGCTGAGTGACGTACAATGTTCTTACTCTGAAACGACTCTGAGACACTGTAATTTGCAGGGATGGGGACAAAACTCATGTGGACATGAGAAGGATGCTGCAGTCGCCTGTCGAAGTGAGTATAAAATCTTTTACACACAACGGTAAGGGTGATATGCAGTATTTGTGGCATGCAGTTGACAGTGGACACCAAGCATATATTTTTGTTGCTTATATTTCAAGCACTTGCATGAATTATTCAGTTTTAAAAAATTAAATACATAATTCCAGTGGATATAATTTGGTTAATTTAAATCATGCCACAAATGCTGTGCATATAAATTTGGTTGTAAATAATCTACAATATTTCTGTTGCCTCACAAGTCTTATCTATTAAAATGAGAAAACGCATCATATAATCCACTCTGACAACAGCGCTCATTATATCATAATTTAGGCAGAATTAAGTTGGAAAATGGCTTCAATGCTTGTTCTGGAAGAGTGGAGATATTCTATTATCCCTGGGGAAGCCCTGTGTTGGGAACAGTATGTGATAATAGCTGGGATCTATCAGATGCTGCAGTGGTGTGTAGAGAGATGGGATGTGGAGATGCCATAGCGGCAAAGAGTGCTGCTTATTTCGGACAGGGTGGGGGACCAGTATGGTTGAATGATGTCAACTGCGTTGGAAATGAGCTCACACTCACTGCCTGTGAGTCCAAAAAAACAGAAGATTACAATTTGCATTACAAGGATGCTGGAGTCATCTGTCAATGTAAGTTGTTCCATTGCCATGCATGTAAGAATATTGAAAAGAAAATATTGTCAGTATGCCGTCCCTGTAACGTGAGTAACAAAACATCAAGTGTGGTACACCCAAAAATGAAAAACTTCTGTGATCCATTATAACCTTTATGATGACATTGCATTAAAGGGGTCATCGGATGCCCATTTTCCACAAGTTGATATGATTCTTTAGGGTCTTAATGAAAAGTCTATAACATACTTTGGTTAAAATTTCTCAATGGTAGTGTAAAACAACACCCTTTTTACCTTGCCAAAACAGCTCTGCACACAGCAAGCCATTTTGTTGCATGTCTCTTTAAATGCTAATGAGCTCTGCTGACCCCGCCCCTCTTTTTCATGTGGTGACAAGCAGTTCTCATGAGACTGTTTACTTTAGCTGCATTTAGCCACGAAACTTGCTAACTAGCACGCTATTAGAAAAGGAGATTTGCAAAGATTCATAAAAGAACCTTATATTCACTTCTTCTGTAGGTAAAGCTGGATCACGAATGATTTGCGCGAACATAAGACGCATTTAGGTAGATCAGGGGCGCATTCCCTTCAAAAACAAAAGTAATCCACTGCGTCTTCAGCCAGGTATAACTGCAGACCGGAGATCTCCAAAATGGGGCATGAACTCCAAAAGTGGGCAGAACCTCCAAAATGGGGCGGGCTCTCCTCACGCAAAGACTTTCACCATTGGCTCTGGCTTCAGCCAATTGTTATTTACTTACATTTCAAAATAAAACTTTATAAATTAGACACTGTTTCTAGTTAATCTAAAATGAAATATGCTATACAAATAAATATGCCTATATAAATAAATATTCTTCATGAGAGCAGAGCTCAAAGCTCGTGGCCAGTGGTGTTCGGACCGAAGTTTGAACCTCAGCTTCATGATGTAAATGGGAATCACCCACGAGCTCTCCCGCGAACCGTCCCAGCAAAATTCGCAGAGTAGGAGGGGGTAGTGACACTGGGTGTAAATAAAAAGGTCCCAATTGTCCGGTGAGGTCCGGTTGGGGAGTTACGGAGCGGCCCGGCTTGGCGATATCGCATTATCTTATTAACTGATTATCCCCTGAACTGCAACTTTCTTTACCATGCTATTCAGCGCCAATCCCACCGTGCAGTCAATTTCACTGGTTAAGGTTAGGGTCAGGTGTGGGGTAGGTTTAGGGGTTAGCATTTTTTTGTAGCATAGTGTAGGAAATTGACTTTGATTGACACAACCAATAAAATCTTTCGAATCAGCTGTGGGGCGGATTTTGCACTTAAGTGGATTGGGGGAAAAAACTGCGCATGCGTGTCGTTTGTCTGTCTTTTAATGGGAGGAAGCCACGCCCTATTTTGGAGCTCCCACCCCATTTTGGAGTTCCCGCCCCCATTTGGAGATCTCCAGGCTGCAGTTATACCCTTCTCTCTTCAGCAGCTCAGATGTCAGGAGTAAATGATGACTGCTATGTTCATTGTTACATCCAACAACAAAACACCTCAATCGCTTAGGAAACATTCTTGTCTACCCCTGCTCCAGCGTTCAAACAATGGCGGACTGATGACAGCTCACTCAGTGTGGGACTAAGGTAAAACATCAGTGTCAATCAACAATCGTGGGAGGGGCCTGGGTCTGTGTGACGTCACACAGCCAAGAAGCTGAGAATGGCTTGATTTGAGAAAGGGGATATTATTTATAGGGATTAAAAAAAACACTTGGTGGATTTTTATCATTATAGGGTGGATGTGTACAAACACTCCCAACACACATTTATGTTCAAACAACATGTAAAAATGAATTTAGCATCCGATGACCCCTTTAAATATGTGGGGAAAAAAAGAATAAAGATTCTGTTCTGTATTTAGGTTAACTATACTAATATATATTTAACAGCTTGTTTCTTAATCTTTTGTCTGTCTGGCCCTTAGCTCTTGTTAAGCTGGTGAATGGCACTAACTCTTGTTCTGGACGAGTTGAAGTTTTCTTTGATGGCCGGTGGGGAACAGTATGCGATGATGGCTGGGATCAGTCAGATGCTGCAGTGGTGTGTAGAGAACTGGGCTGTGGGAATGTTATAGAGGCAAAGAATGCTGCTTATTTTGGACAGGGATCAGGACTCGTATGGCTAAGTGATTTACAGTGTGCCAGTTACTCTACTCTGAGAAACTGTAATTCAAATGGATGGGGACAAAACAGCTGTGGACATGAGAAGGATGCAGGAGTAGCCTGTCAACGTGAGTTCAAAACCTTGTACATAAAATTAACAGTATAAACTTGATCATGTTTTGTCCACTGGTAACACTTACATTTTTGTGGGTATTAGTTAACATCAAACTGGTGAATGGCATCACCTCTTGTTCTGGACGAGTTGAGGTTTTTCGTGACAGTCAATGGGGAACTGTGTTTGATGATGGCTGGGATCTATCAGATGCTGCAGTGGTGTGTAGACAGATGGGATGTGGAGATGCTATAGAGGCAATAGGTGGTGCTTATTTTGGACAAAGTGCGGGAGAAATATTTATGGGCAATGTAAACTGTTTTGGAAATGAGACCATGGTCAGTGATTGTGAATTTCGTAGATGGGGAATGCATGACCATTCAAATGATGCTGGAGTCATCTGTGATCGTAAGTGAAATCCACAGATTTTCTACACTCTCTCTCTTTTATTACATGTAAAAAAAAAAAAAGAGTGATTAAAGGAATGGTTAACCCAGAAATGAAAATTTGCTGAAAATATAACCTCAGGTCATTAAAGATGTAGATGAGTTTGTTTCAATTGTTCAATTTTTTTATCAGAACAGATTTGGACAAATTTAGCATTACATCATTTGCTTACCAATGGATCCTCTTCAGTGAATGGGTGCCGTCAGAATGAGAGTCCAAACAGCTGATAAAACATTGCAGTAATCCACAAGTAATCCACACGACTCCAGTCCATCAATTAACATCTTGCGAAACAAAAAGCAGCATGTTTGTAAGAAACAAAACCATCATTAAGGTGTCAAACCATTGCTTCTGGCAAAATGTCCAGTATCTATAATAATGCTTCCTCTAGTGAAAAAGTCCATCCCCTGTTGTCCTCTCAAAATTCACCAACCTATTTATTTATAAATATTTTCACTTGTAAATGGTGCTTGGTCTGTGCATATTTCGCTACTGATTTAGAAGAGACTACTTTTTCACTGGAGAAGCAATATTATAGATAAAGGACTCAAATTTTTAGACTGAAGCAACAGTTTGAAGTAAAAAAAAAATGTAATAATGAATTTGTTTGTTACAAACATGCAGCTTTTTGCTTCTCAAGATGTTAATTGATGGACTGAACTCGTGTGGATTATTGTGATGTTGTTGTCAGCACCCATTCACTGCAGAAGATCCATTGGTGAGTAAATGATATCGAAATTGGTTCAGATTAAGAACCAAACTCATCTACATCTTGGATGGCCTGAGGGTGAGTGAAGTTTAAGCAAATTTTCATTTTTCTGTGAACTATTTCTTTAATGCAGCAGTGTGCGGTACTTTGACCTATAAAAAGAAATACAGTCAATTAATAGTCACTGTAAATGGAGAAAACATCCTAAATATGTTTTTAAGTAGTTAATTTGTTTCTTTTATTTTCATTTGTGTGGCGGTTAGCTTCTCTCAGGCTCATAAATGGACACGACTCTTGTTCTGGAAGAGTGGAGGTTCTTTATAATGGAATATGGGGAACAGTGTGTGATAATGGCTGGGATCTAACAGATGCTGCAGCAGTGTGTAGAGAGATGGGCTGTTGGGATGTGATCGAGGCCAAGAGTGCTGCTCATTTCGGTCAGGGATCAGGGCCTGTATGGATAAGTGATTTGCAATGTTCTGACACTGACTCAAGACTAAGAGATTGTAAATCAAGTGGATGGGGAAGAGGCAGCTGTGGACATGAGAAAGATGCAGGAGTCATCTGTAAGGGTGAGTGTAAACCTTTTAACAGCATACAGTGTAGTCTATGTAAGACTGAAATGACTGTATATGTATTCTATGATCAAAAAAACACTTGGTGGATTTTTATCATTATAGGGTGGATGTGTACAAACACTCCCAACACACATTTATGTTCAAACAACATGTAAAAATGAATTTAGCATCCGATGACCCCTTTAAATATGTGGGGAAAAAAAGAATAAAGATTCTGTTCTGTATTTAGGTTAACTATACTAATATATATTTAACAGCTTGTTTCTTAATCTTTTGTCTGTCTGGCCCTTAGCTCTTGTTAAGCTGGTGAATGGCACTAACTCTTGTTCTGGACGAGTTGAAGTTTTCTTTGATGGCCGGTGGGGAACAGTATGCGATGATGGCTGGGATCAGTCAGATGCTGCAGTGGTGTGTAGAGAACTGGGCTGTGGGAATGTTATAGAGGCAAAGAATGCTGCTTATTTTGGACAGGGATCAGGACTCGTATGGCTAAGTGATTTACAGTGTGCCAGTTACTCTACTCTGAGAAACTGTAATTCAAATGGATGGGGACAAAACAGCTGTGGACATGAGAAGGATGCAGGAGTAGCCTGTCAACGTGAGTTCAAAACCTTGTACATAAAATTAACAGTATAAACTTGATCATGTTTTGTCCACTGGTAACACTTACATTTTTGTGGGTATTAGTTAACATCAAACTGGTGAATGGCATCACCTCTTGTTCTGGACGAGTTGAGGTTTTTCGTGACAGTCAATGGGGAACTGTGTTTGATGATGGCTGGGATCTATCAGATGCTGCAGTGGTGTGTAGACAGATGGGATGTGGAGATGCTATAGAGGCAATAGGTGGTGCTTATTTTGGACAAAGTGCGGGAGAAATATTTATGGGCAATGTAAACTGTTTTGGAAATGAGACCATGGTCAGTGATTGTGAATTTCGTAGATGGGGAATGCATGACCATTCAAATGATGCTGGAGTCATCTGTGATCGTAAGTGAAATCCACAGATTTTCTACACTCTCTCTCTTTTATTACATGTAAAAAAAAAAAAAGAGTGATTAAAGGAATGGTTAACCCAGAAATGAAAATTTGCTGAAAATATAACCTCAGGTCATTAAAGATGTAGATGAGTTTGTTTCAATTGTTCAATTTTTTTATCAGAACAGATTTGGACAAATTTAGCATTACATCATTTGCTTACCAATGGATCCTCTTCAGTGAATGGGTGCCGTCAGAATGAGAGTCCAAACAGCTGATAAAACATTGCAGTAATCCACAAGTAATCCACACGACTCCAGTCCATCAATTAACATCTTGCGAAACAAAAAGCAGCATGTTTGTAAGAAACAAAACCATCATTAAGGTGTCAAACCATTGCTTCTGGCAAAATGTCCAGTATCTATAATAATGCTTCCTCTAGTGAAAAAGTCCATCCCCTGTTGTCCTCTCAAAATTCACCAACCTATTTATTTATAAATATTTTCACTTGTAAATGGTGCTTGGTCTGTGCATATTTCGCTACTGATTTAGAAGAGACTACTTTTTCACTGGAGAAGCAATATTATAGATAAAGGACTCAAATTTTTAGACTGAAGCAACAGTTTGAAGTAAAAAAAAAATGTAATAATGAATTTGTTTGTTACAAACATGCAGCTTTTTGCTTCTCAAGATGTTAATTGATGGACTGAACTCGTGTGGATTATTGTGATGTTGTTGTCAGCACCCATTCACTGCAGAAGATCCATTGGTGAGTAAATGATATCGAAATTGGTTCAGATTAAGAACCAAACTCATCTACATCTTGGATGGCCTGAGGGTGAGTGAAGTTTAAGCAAATTTTCATTTTTCTGTGAACTATTTCTTTAATGCAGCAGTGTGCGGTACTTTGACCTATAAAAAGAAATACAGTCAATTAATAGTCACTGTAAATGGAGAAAACATCCTAAATATGTTTTTAAGTAGTTAATTTGTTTCTTTTATTTTCATTTGTGTGGCGGTTAGCTTCTCTCAGGCTCATAAATGGACACGACTCTTGTTCTGGAAGAGTGGAGGTTCTTTATAATGGAATATGGGGAACAGTGTGTGATAATGGCTGGGATCTAACAGATGCTGCAGCAGTGTGTAGAGAGATGGGCTGTTGGGATGTGATCGAGGCCAAGAGTGCTGCTCATTTCGGTCAGGGATCAGGGCCTGTATGGATAAGTGATTTGCAATGTTCTGACACTGACTCAAGACTAAGAGATTGTAAATCAAGTGGATGGGGAAGAGGCAGCTGTGGACATGAGAAAGATGCAGGAGTCATCTGTAAGGGTGAGTGTAAACCTTTTAACAGCATACAGTGTAGTCTATGTAAGACTGAAATGACTGTATATGTATTCTATGATCGCGCTGTCATTATATATAAACTTTATTCCTTTGTGTGAGCAATAGATAATGTTAGGCTGGTCAGCAGCACCAACCCCTGTTATGGACGAGTAGAGGTTCTTCGTGCCGGTCAGTGGGGAACAGTGTGTGATGATGGATGGGATGCATCAGATGCTGCAGTGGTGTGTAAACAACTAGGCTGTGGGACAGTTTTGGAAGTAAAGAGTGCTGCCTATTTTGGAATGGGTTCAGGAAAGGTTTGGATGAATAATGTAAACTGTTTTGGGAATGAGCCTACTTTGATGAGCTGTTCATATAATGCAACTCCAAACATATGTGGCCATGAGAAAGATGCCGGAATCATTTGTGGATGTAAGTGCCAATGTTTTCATTTTAGTGAGTGAGGTTATGGAGCAATGTGTTTTATTCATGGAGACATTGATGACTTTTGATTTCACTTAGCTGTTAAAGTCATGTTGAGGGTTGAAGTGAAGGCTAACCATGGAGTTGACCCAAATGCTGCTGGAATCATAAATAAACTTTCAGGGGAGGTGAGAGCAGTGGAAAGAGTGACATTGAGCTGTATCTTTCACTACTTTTTACTGTCGTCTTCTGGCTGTTCATGTTACTGTTCTGTTCTCTGTATTTACATTCATTTGAATCTCATAGATTGGGAAGAAGCTACAAATTAATGAAACTTTCTCACTCAAAACTTGGACCGATGGAAAAATCTTCCATAAGAGAACAAGAGCTGCACCCTGACAAATTGGTAAGACTTTAACATTAGCCTTAAAACTAAAGTTTAAATATTTAATGTAATATTTTCCACAATAACAGTGTACAATGGTGTTGGTTCCTCAGGTCATTTCTGGATACAGAGAAGAAAATAAGCAAACACTATGTAAAAGGAAATAAATTCTACATTAATTTTTCAGTCTGACCTTTAATAAATGAAATTAATAATTATTTTACACATTTTTCCACATATGACAATGCTTTATATAATTTCCTTGTATTTTTTTCCCCTAATGACAATGTAGGCTGTGTTTTGATAGTGATAAAGTATATTTTGTGTGTCATCCTAACTGTAATATATATGTAATCTTGATACAGCCAATATTGTACATATATTTTCAATATAAACCTGTCTGGAGGTAAATGAATGAAAATATAATTGCAGTATGCTTAATAATAATTTCATTTAATCCAATTCCATTTAGATACTATATATAGTTGCATAATAAATATAAATAAAGTGTGATTAAAGAACAATATTTCTGGATGTTATAACCATTGTCTGTCTGGTCCCAATTTCTGTATTTTTGTTTTGTTTTACAGAAAAAAAAATACTTATGCTTAAAATGTTGTGACTACGGTTACCCTATTAATGTACAGTAGATATGGTACTATTTTGCCATTAGGTAATTGCTTAGTTTTTGAAACAAAAATCTTTCCACCCTTGGCATCTGCACTTGTGGTTGGTGAGCTGGTTACTCGTTTTTCAAAAAGAATAAGCCAAAGTATTTTCAGGATACTTCAAAGTTTTGTAAACCGTAAGATTAATAATAGTCCAAGGTTTTGTAAACCATTTGCAATGGGTAATGAACTGATACAGACACGTGCATATATTTAGCAGGAAAAGCAACCTATCCCAGTTCAAAAACAGGGTGAAGGCCCAACTGTGCATAATAACATAAAGCCGAATTTTAATTTAAGACATGAATGGCTTCAGAATGCATGGAATGAAGCACTTAAGTCTTAACATAGTACTTTTTGGTCCTAAAGAATACAGGATTGTTTGTGGAAGGTAAACATTCAAAAGGTTCACAGTTTGCATCCTGTAAAAGGGCCTGTCAGAGTAATTAGGGAGGAAAAACTCGTTTGAATAACCAAACAAAATGGAAAAATGAACAGCCTTCTGTTTAGTGCCATTGTTATTTGTTTGCAAAAGCAAATGTTTGAGCAGGATTAAACTTTTTGGGAACACTAAACAGTTCAGTCAGTTCCAAACAATGACAATGACCTTGATTGGTGGTGCCCCTTAAATCCCAGCATTATGAAAGACAAAACCAAGTTGAGAATGAGAACTATAACTATTGTGATCAATGCCTTATAGTTTCTTCTATGGCTAACCTGTTTGCATAGGTCATGGCTTCCTTCTAAAGTGCAATTTGCTGACTTTTACACCTGTTGCATGTGTGCTGCAAATTACCTTGAAAAGGTGTGATTATTTGTCAGGGTCATCTGAAGGGTGGAGACTGGTGGGCTGGAGGTTGTACCTCTAGATAAATGCACACTAAATCTTCAACATCCAAACTTATATTTCAGGTCCAGAAGGAAGACAGCAGCATACATGGGACACTTCAAAAGGTTTAAAACCCTTAGTCATATTTTGATCTTTCTGTCTTTATTTTACTATTTCTATCTGTCTGCTAAATTAATAAATGTAAATATGTATTAATTTGTTCTATCTCAAAGTATGATTGCTTCTAAGGTATGATTCTCTGTAAAGTATTTAAATCAAATTTTCATGTAGACCATAGAATTAGAAAAATGTTATTGATTTGAAATATCCTTATAAGTATTTTTAAACACATAAACATAATTTTAGGATTTATATTTATGGCTTTATAAAGAAGTGTAAAATAAGAAACGTTGGTAACACCTTACTTAAAGCCTTTATATAATATATGATGTTTATAAACTATTATAAAGGTATTTATAATTTCCCTTGTATTGCTTTATATATTTTCATAAATAATTGTAACCAAAGTTAAAATGTAGGCTAATACAATATTTGCAGGTTTCTTACTTCTGATTTTTTTTTTATCTGTTTCTACGAAAAATACGTTCTAAAGGTGTAACATAAGTATTATAATGTATTATAATGTGGTTATAATAAGTATTCAAGATCATACAATACGCATGACAAGGCATATTTAATGCATCAAATATTTCATAACGCTTTAGCTTATATATAGGCTTTAAGTAAATTCTTCCCGCAACGTTAGTTATCTTTTTGTTTCATTATATTATCAGGGTAATGTTAAAAATAATTTATTATGCATTGAAATCAGCTAGCGTTAACATTTTTCTTAGTTTCCTTACAGCAGCGCTGCTGTGTTTAAAGCTCACTGTCCTTCAAAGTAAGAGCTCACACACAGCTCATACATAGCCTACATACAACTTATTTTCGCCCTACATATTGCATAATCTGCTTGTGATTCTCAGTGTTTTATCTCTCATGACAAGCAGTTCTGGGAAATTCCACGTCAGGCGAAGCTTCTTCAGTCAGACTAGTTGACGGCAGCAGCTCTTGTTCGGGAAGAGTGCAGGTTCTCTATGATGGAATATGGGGAACGGTGTGTTACGATGGCTGGGATTTGTTAGACGCCAATGTCGTGTGTAGTGAATTGGGTAGTGGGGAAGCGAAAGAGGTGAAGTTAGCGGATATTATGGGAAGAGCTCAGGAAAAATATGGTTGACAAAGGTGAAATGTTTTGGGAATGAGTCCTCACTGACAGAATGTCCAATGGGTGGAGCGGACAAATGGGAACAAAAGTTGTTCTGACATGTAACAAAACTGACATGTATGCAGAAGTCATCTGTCAGCGTGAGTACAACCTTATGTTTAAAATATCAAAGGATGTCAGCCTTATGCTGTGTATATTTTTTATAATCATGTCCTGCTTGTACGTTTTAACAGCTATAATAATGAACAGCTTTCCACCAATCTAAAAAAAAATATATATGTATGTTGTTTTGAGATGAATTAGTTGTCATTTGTTTGTAACCAAAAGCCATCTTTTAGGCAAATTGCAAATGGGAAAATTTACATTTGGTACATTGTCTTGTATGCACAACCTGTGCTTGGTAATGTTCTCTACACACACTTTGTTGTGTTACGCAATGCATTTTCTAGGTTTGAAAAGTTATTTCTTATGACCAACTTATAAAGTATAATTACTTTTTTTTAAAACCATTTTGAAGATTGACAGTCCCAGTCACTCTATGTATTTGTTCCTTTGCAATTTCTATATTTAGGGGTGAATTCAGGTAAAGTGGGCCGTTTAAGTTAAATTAAATTAATGCTGCTAAAAAGAACATTATTTTGTGTATTTGGTGTAATGAAATGTGTTTATGCGGTTTAAGGTTAAAAAAACACATTATTTTCCACATACTGTACATTATTGTTTCTCCTCTATGCCCCGCCTTTCTGAAACGCATCGATTTTTACAAACTCCTCTATGCCCCGCCTTTCTGAAACGCGTCGATATTTACAAAGCTCATCGGTCTGAAAAAAGCGAGGTGTGGCCAGCTATCCAGTGCGTTGTGATTGGTCGAATTCCTCAAGTGTGTGACGGAAATGTTACATCCCTTACCATATTGTGATTTTGGTTGACGCAATATGACACTGGTGGTGTGGCCACACCTCAAATGATTACTGTGTCATGGTGAAACGTAGAAAACCCTTTGACATAAGATTTTCATTTCTAAATTAAATTATAAGGTTGCTCACTAAATGGAAACAAATATTATTGGGACAGTTCCTGCTGTTTTTGTTTCCACAGTTAACAGGGAATAAAATGCAAAGACAAAATTGTTTAAAAATTTGTTCGTTTTATTGTAAGGTGTTTAAATAGTGCTGGCCCACTTTGGCTGAATGTGTTAGATAAAGTGGGCCAGTGGGATTCAGGTAAAGTGGGCTGACCTTTAACCTTCAGTTATTATACACAAATTAATTAATTAAATTGATATTCACTGGTTATTTTATAGTTGACGTATAATTTACTTTTTTAGAAAACAGAAATGAGTCTGCAGTCAGGAAATTCAAGTCAGAGATGGAAGAAAGGAAAGAGAGAATAGAAAGGATGTTGAGGCATTCAGTTCAATCTGTGGAATGAAGAAAGGATGAGAAGAGCAAAATGTAGATGCAGAATATAAAGCTTTAAAATATGGACACAATTAAAGTTCATTTAAAGTGTTTAGTGAACATAAACAGCAAAACATTTTTACATATGGTTACCATTTTAAATGTTCCTATTATTATTTTTATTAGACTATTTGTTGTTGCTTGTGTTATAGTCACATTTTTAACACACTCTAAAAATCCAGCGCTGGGTTAAAAAGGGACAAACCCAGCTATTGGGTTGTTTTGAACCCAACCGCTGGGTCAAAACAACCCAATAGCTGGGTTTGTCCCTTTTTAACCCAGCTCTGGGTTATATTTAACCCAGCATTTTTTTAGAGTGCATATTGTAGAGTTCATTTTGTTAATATTCTGATTTCTGAAAATGATCTTTCTGTTGTTTGGAATTACACATGATTTATTTTACTCATAACCTGTTATATATTTTTAGATTTGTTAAATACGTTTGTCTGATAATATGTGTTAATAAATCATGTGTTTTTAATTAACATGCAGAATAATTTTTGATAAATAAGGGATGGCCCACTTTACCTGAAATTATTTATGCATGATCTAAAAATATTTATTGTTATATACCATGCAAATAACACTTTATATGAACCATATTCAAATTTAAATATTATAGCTAGACATTAAAGTTAACAAAAGTAATAAAGAAAAGAAAAGAAAAAAAACATCTAGCTATCTAAATTACACGTTTTACAAAAAGTGGCCCACTTTACCTGCAATCACCCCAAATAAAAATGAATAGTCCTTTTTTCAGTCAGTCATATTTTAGATTATTCTAACATTATGTCCTGTTCTAGAGGGACACAATTTTGAATAAAAAATAAGTGCATTAGAGTAATACACATAATTCACCACAGAATGGCGACATTCAGCTAATTTCTTCTGTAACAATTTTGAAGTATCTATTAGGTTATATATTCATTAAGCTGTCATGTTTTTTACTCAGCTTAGAGATCTAAGATATTATTTCTACTAAAAGGCGATGTAAGTGATTTGATGTCACAGTAACAGTTGTATGGCTCTTCACACACACACACACACACACACACACACACACACTATATAACATGCATGATATAACTGCCTGATTTTTTTTTTTATTTCGTCGCAAAATAAATTTGCATCCAATATACATAATTTTTCATCCGCACCACAAGGCGGCACAAGTGGGTTTGTCATTCAGTCTGACTTCCTCGCTGCTTGATGACAATCACAACAACAACACGTGCAGATCCTGCAGATTATTTTGGTCTTAAAAATGTCGCTTTAACAGCACATATTTCAGCTCAACTGCAAACAAAACCGACACACAGTCCGATAAAATGCTGGAGTCACGCGACTCACCTGTAAGTAGCTTTATAAAAGACTTTGAAAGTCTGAAAGTGTTTTCTTCAGTTTCTATATGTGTATGCAAGATATGCCTCAAAAGATGAATTTTGACGAGGTCTTTAACCTAAAATTATGTTGTTTTTTTTAATGTTTGATATTGGACTGCTAGCACTGTATTCAGACACTCACATTTTCCATGAAGGTTTATCACAGACCTTTTTTACATGCCGCTTTCCTGCTGAACCTGTCAGACCTTCAGAATAACAAATGAATCAGTTGTTGCGTTATCTTTATAATCTTTAAAAGGAAGTTATATATTTTAAATTGGAATAATAAGGAATCGTGCTGTTCGTCTCTTTTGAAATTGTAGTCCAACTGTAAGTAATAGTCTAAATATCTCTGGCCTGTTAACAGTTAGATTGTGCTTTTGTTTTTCTTTATTATCTATGATTTAGTGATTCTAGACCACCTTGCTGCTTTACAAGATTGGATAAACGTTTTTGTTGAAGCATTTATGTATTAAATCGTTTTGAAACCCAGTGTGTGCAAACTGGGGAGAAAAGCAGATTGAACTAAAACATTATTAAAGGTACAGCATTGCGTAAGTATAATATACTCTGCGATATTTTTACGCAGTTGAGGAATTCAATTTATGTTCTTAATTTATTTTTATTTACTATTATGTAATTTATTTTTTAGATTTTTGAGATATGCAAGAGGCCTATGTCTAATAATGTCTTTATTCCTGTCTTGACTGAACAGAATAAGTGCTGTGCTGTGGATTGTAAAGCTGGACAGACAGTGACTGTAATGATGGACATCTGCTTGTGGACAGGTGATGTATCTACTGTGTGAATGTGTGTTCTAGTGCACTAAACATGTAGGTTACCATCATTTTCTTTCTGAAGGGCCTCTCCTGTGAAAAGCAAATGATGGTAACCTAAGTAGGTGAGGAAGGGACGGCAGATGATAATTTTTATGCAGCTTTCTTTTTATTTTCCAGTCTGTCCAAAAGCATAACCACTGCTGGTCACAGTGCGGGAAGCTCCAGGGGGAGACCATACTGGTATCCCCCTTCTTTGGGCGCACCTTCACACACACTCCACCATTCACTCATATCGCAGAGACCTGGCTGGGATCGAACCAGCAACCTCTAAACCCGTGAGGCAGCGGTCTTACCTGTGAGCCACAGGTCTCTTGTTAGAGCAAGTGAAGGAACTTATTTTTGACTGTTGACTTGTGAGTTCCCAATAAAGACATTGAAGTAAGCTGTGTATATGATATAATGAGATGGGAATTGAACCCATGTTTCCATCTCAGGTTTGTTCTCAGGGAATAGTGGGATTTGAACTCTAATCTCCCAGATTCAAACACAAAGCTTTATCTCTCGAGCCACTGAGTCTGTGGAGCTATTGAGTGTATTGAACTTAATTGAGAGATTTGTTCTAAATTATGAATAATACTTCTGGGGTTAGAACCAGGACATTGATGTTTGAGATTGAAGCCTTTAACCACAGCAGATGATAATTTTTATGCGGCTTTTTATTTTCCAGTCTGTCCAAAAGCATAACCACTGCTGGTCACAGTGCACAAAGCTCCAGGGGGAGACCGTACTGGTATCCCCCTTCTTTGGGCGCGCCTTCACACACACTCCACCATTCACTCATATCACAGAGACCTGGCTGGGATCGAACCAGCAACCTCTGAACCTGTGAGGCAGCGCTCTTACCTGTGAGCCACAGGTCTCTTGTTAGAGCAAGTGAAGGAACTTATTTTTGACTGTTGACTTGTGAGTTCCCAATAAAGAAGTTAAAGTAAGCTGTGTATATGATATAATGAGATGGGATTTGAACCCATGTTTCTATCTCAGGTTTGTTCTCAGAGAACATGTGTTTACCCGCTAACCCATCGTGGATTTTACTTCATGTTTTGGTGTTTGAATGACTTTGTTGGATGAGATCGATTTACAGTAAGAAATAGTGGGATTCGTACTCAGATCTCCCAGAAAAGAAAACAAAGCTTTATCTCATGAGCCACTGAGTGTTTTGAGAATGCCTTTATTGAGAGTTTTGTTTTAAATGATGGATAATTTCAATTGATGTGGGATTCAAACAAGGACTTTGATGTTTGAGATTGAAGTCTTTAACCACTGAGCCACAGAAGCTGCGATGTTGTGCTGGTGTTGTTTTTAGGGTTGTTTAGATTTAAATTTTATTTTAATGAAGGTTTGGATGAGTCAAAGACATTCAATGCATCTGTGGGATTTGAACACAACTGCATTGCAGCATCATAAGTCAAAGTCTCATGTTTAGCCACTGCACTCCAGGTAAAATGTGGTTCTTGTCTTGTCTGTAGATTGAACCTCACTTTAAGTGACACAGGTAACCTTAAACTTGCTGAATTTGAACCAGTACTTCCCTAGCCGAAGGTGAACTATCATCCTTTGTACCACAGGGATTGTTTTGTTTGTGTTTGTTTGTTTTTCTGCATTACCATATATTTCTATCAGTTTAATTTTTTTGTAGTTTAAACCTCAAGTGTTGCGTTTTCTTTTAAATAATAAAATAATTAAGACTATCACCATCATTGTAAATAACAACACAATTACAAAAAAAAACACAATTACAGTTTTTATCAGTCACTGGCATTGTACAACATTTTGAATAAACTAAAAAACTTGTTTTAATTATTCTTTATGAACATTGTTGTTGATTTAAGTGTAGCAAGTTTTAATTTGAGTTAAAATAACTTGACATTTTAATAGAAGTTTTCATTTTTTCCCAGAGATTTTGAGTAATCACTGCTATAAAACTAGTCTAATAACTCGTATGCACTGTGCATCTCAAAGAGGGTGAGAGCAGAAGAACATGCTTCCAATGCAAAGCAATATAAACAGCCAATCATAACTTTTCCCACATCTGTATACTCCCCTTCAAGGAGACGCACTCATACCGCTTTGGTCTTGATCATTTTAAAGCACAGAAGATTTGAACCAGCATATTCTACAGGAGGGCCACACTCACTTCTCATGAGCCTCATGGGATCTCTGTAACGAGCAAACAGCCCTCAGAGTCTCAGGAACTCCAGACTGAAGCTCTTCTCATCAGCCCTGAAGCTCGTTTATTCAAGATCAATCATAGTAACTTTTTCATTTTGAACAGATTTATGATTTATTCATTCAAGAGTTATTTAAAAGAGACACACCAGAACATCCAGTAAACTCAGAGAGACTTTATTTACTTTATTTTTATGTTTCACATCTTTAACATACATATAACTGTTACTTTGCAAAGATATGGTAATTTCTTTTAGACACCATTAAAGAGAATGTTTCATGCCCTCTTGTGGTGAAGTTTGTGTATTGCACAATGCTGCAACTTGGAAAATATGCATTTATTTATTTTACATTGAAAATTATATACTGTTTATTCAATATCAGAAATATTTAGAAAATATCTCTTATTATTAAAAATAACTTAAATGATAAAGGATTCTCTTGTATTGATGTGTTCTATTTCATGATTTGTTAAATTTTTAAAATAAGCAAATGAAAATAACTTTTCATCCTCTTGTGGTGAATTGAGGGAATTACACAGAATTTATTTCAGCTATAACTTGAGCCAGACGTAAACCTTGAAATGAAATGGTTTTGTATTGATTTCATATTAATATTAATTAATAATCTCACTACACGAATGCAAAAGAAAAAAACTACAAAACACACATCTGGTAAATAATTTATTTTCTTTAGTACAAATATATAATTAGATTCTTATCCACACATCCATTCTTCAAACTGCTTGTCCACTGTAGGGTCGAGAGGATCTGGAGTCTATCCAATGTCTTGGGCCGCAGACGAAGAAATGGTACATCACGGCTGTAATATACATTAAATAAATAATAAATAAAACAAATCAGTGGAATGCAATTGGTGAATTGTGTATTACATTTTTTACATTTATTAATTTTTTGTTTATGGCACAGAGGAAATACATATATTTTTAAGAGAAGAAGAAGAAGAAGAAGAATGAGCTTTATTGCCAGGTATGTTTACACATACGAGGAATTTGTTTTCGTGACAGAAG